CCCCCCCCCCACCACTACCCCCACCAAGCCAGGGATCTGGATTTGTCAGCTCGAGGTGGGTAGGGGGCACTGGAGGAGAGCACACAGTGAAAAGTGGGTGTGGGAGGGATGAGTATTCAGTAGGACCGAGTGTGTGTTTTACTGGGACGCATGGAACTGGGTCCCTCACCTCCCTTTTCTGCTGTTCCAATCCCTCGCGTTGTACACGTCTACCTGCTGTAAATGTGTAAACACCATCTGACATGGTCACTGTGTGAAAGGGAATGTTGGTTGGGTCAGAGCTGCTGGTGGGTGAATAACAGAACACTCGTGAAGCATGTTTCTCCAGGGATTTGTTTTCTCTGGCGCCACATTCCTCCGAAAGTGCTTCAATGGGTGTTAGAGACGTTGGGACATATTGAGGTTGCGAAAGTGGTGATGTGCACACACATTCTCTCTTTCACCAGTCCTCATAGGCTGGGTTTGGTGTTAGACTTTCTGTGACTGGTTAGCGAGTTGCTAAAAGGTTGGGAGAGCTGCCATCACAGTAAATGGAGCTGATTGTTTGCTTATTGTTTGATACCTTCAAGCTCGAAGGGACGGAGTGACACGGGCATTTCCAATGTTGTCCTTGCACCCGGTTTTAATCCCCTCTGAAGAGGCATCAATACTCTCTGTGTCTCTTTCCTTCCATCCCTCCACTGCTGTTTATCCAACATTTGGGAAGCTTTAAACCTTCGCGCTGATCACTTCGAATCTTTGCCACCAAGCCGGGCCTCCCAGATCTGTGAGAGAGAGTTCGCTGGAGACCCTCCCACAGCGAGACTGCCAGGAAAGGCTGGTCATGTGAATTGCCAATTAAAAGACTGTTCTGAATATGTGCTGTGGGCACACTCTGTACTTGGCAAGTGTTTGCCATGACATGGTTAGTAGCATGCCCACCTCTGAGTCAGGGATTGTGGATTCTGGATCAACATCAGAGAGAGTCAGGCATGTCATCTGTGCGGATGTTCCAGTGCAGTACTGCGGTGGTGCTGCACTGTCAAGAGGTGCCATCTCTCAGCTGACACTGTTAGAACCTCTCGGGTGGATGCAGATGATCCCAAGGTGCTGCCTGAAGAGGAGCAGGGAGCCCTCTTGGTTTCCTGATCAATATTGATCTCTCAACCAACATATGAAAACTGATTAGCTGTGCACTCTTTCTCTCCGCTGCCTTTGGGATCTTGCTTTGCATACATTCCTTTTGTTAGGTTGGGATGCTCACATGCCATGGAAGATGCTGCATAAATGCAAAACACTTTTGGTATCCCAACGCAGTTGTATTTGTTTTTGGGAGAAACTGGAAAATATTTGGAAGCTCCGCAGAGATCGTGTTTGGGATGCAAATGACCTGTGTGTTTCTGCAACTTATTTATTTTGGAAAAAGTGGGAAAAATAAGTTTGAAATAAAAACACAGAAGGCTGAAAGTACACAACAGTGCCAGAGGGGCTGTGTTTAGATTGTAGTGTTGAGCAGAATCCTGCTGTGTTCATCCAGCCCTGCACCTTGTTGTCTCGGATTCTCCAGCATCTGCAGTTCCTACTATCCCCATTTGATCTCTCGGGCGGACATTTAAAAAAAACCGCAGGGTATTTTTTTGAAGGACAGCAGAGTTCTTTGCAGTGGAGTTAAAATTGTATAAGAGATAGTAGGAACTGCAGATGCTGGAGAATCTGAGATAACAAGGTGTAGAGCTGGATGAACACAGCAGGCCAAGCAGCATCATAGGAGCAGGAAAGCTGACGTTTCGGGCCTCGACCCTACATTAGAAATGCCTTGTTCAATTTTATTCATGAGGCAATATCATTAAAACAGGTTATTTCACCATTTACAAAAGTACTTTATTTCAGAGACTCCTAAGGATGTGGAAGTCACTGTATAAATACACATTCTTTCTTTCACCATTTTTAGTTAGTTGCTTTTGGTGTTGGTTTTTTTGTGTGTTGCTGGACTGGGAGTTGCTGAAAGGTTTGGAGAGCTGGTTGCTCTGTAAATGATTCTGATTGTTTGGCTATTTCACACTTTGCAGGTCTTTGCCTCTGGGCACAACTGATTCTTCGAAGTGCTGTTCTCTCTCTCTCTGCTTCCTCTGAACTGTAAGATGTATTCAGCATGTTGCATGAGCTTGAATGCAGCCTGTGGCAGTCGGAATGCTGAGTTCAGCTCCATTCTCGCTGTTTTGCATGTGCTTTGTGGCACTGACGGAATGCTGCTAATCTTTGTGCTGTTTGCTGAACATTTGACTTGGTGCCTTGATTATTTTAACAGCCATCGTTTTAATAAAAACCTTTAATAGACCGAGCACAGACAGCATAACGATGAAAGCGACCGTGACTCACATTAAATCTGTCTGGCTGTTAATATTTTCAGTGTTAGAGGCAGGAAAGGCGACACTGTAATAAAATATCCCAAAGCACTGTTTCTGAAAAAGCATGTCATTCACCTGTTTATGAACAGCATTACAGCTGCTGTTTATTTTTAGCTGGACTGAAAGCGGAGGTTAGGGAATTCTGGATTATTATCTCGTACAACCGCACTCATCACTAAACAGATCCCCGCACTCATTGCTGAGTTGTTAGCAGAGTCATCTGTAAAGACATTATTGAAATGCCGAGAACCTGGCACTTGAGGGTTTAACATTCCCACTGCTTGCTCCTGGATACAGTAGGGGCACATATTCCACTTACACGGTGCTGTATTGAGGTGCTGCATTGTCAGAGGTACTAGCTTTCAGATGAAACATGAAACCAAGGCTCTGTTTATTATCCCAGGCAGCTATATAAGAAAAATTCACAGCTAATGCAAAGGGCAGTGACATCTTCAAGCCAACATTTACCCTGCAGTCAACACAGCACACACCCAGTCCGTGCGCGCACACATTCTGAATTGCATGCTCTGTCGTACGTTCCCTGTTACCCATGCACACTCACATATCCTCCCTCAGACTCTCTCAATTATGCACTCTTGGAGGCCACACACTCTCTCTCACACACACACCCGCAGTCTCACACGTGCACACTCTCTCAATGTGCACACAAGGTGCACTCACTCTGTGTGCACACACTTGCACTCATACAGGTGTGCACTCGTGCACACAGGAACTCACACATGCACCCTTACACTTTTGTGCACACACTCACATGCACATACTCTCTCACATACACGCTCTCACGCGCACACGCACTGTTGCTCGCTCGTGCTCCCTCCCTCCCCCTCTCGCCCTTTCTCGCTCCCTCCTCCCTCCCTCGCTCAGTGGCACACGCAGTCTCTCTCTCCATCTTTCACACATTTGCACTCTCCCAAGCACACTGTCTTGCATGCACACATGCACATTCACACATGCACTGCTCACATTCTCCTGTGCACACATTGTGTGTGTGTGTATACTCTCTCTCACACACATAAGCTTTCTCCCACACTTTAATCAACCTGGAAATAAACAGATTGTCTTAAGAAGCAGACTAAATGGGGTTTAGAAGGGGCAACCTCTTTGAAATGTGTAAGATTTTGAAGGGATTTTTATATTATTTGTTCTAAGGTACATGGCTGATCCATCCCACCCCTAAAGTGACACAGAGAATTCTGGGGCAAGTTTTGGTCAATTTAGTTGAGTGAAGGGACCAAGCCTTTTGTACAGAGGTAGCAGTGAAGGAACAGAGTGATCCCAGGGGATGGGAGGTACCTTTGATTGACAATGATTGGGAGATGCTCAAAGTCATGGTGGGGTGTGGGTCAGTTGGGAAACATCGATTTCCATTGGCTGGCGACGAGTTGAGTACATCAACTTAAAATGGTGAGCCAAACAACAGGAGATCCAATGCCAAAACAATGTGCAATGTTGACTGCTGTCTGGAACAGTTACAGGAGCAGATTCCAAAGGGAGGTTGATAACTATGTTGAAAGGTTTGGAGCGGAGTGAGCTGGCAGGGGCAGTGATGGACAGAATGGTCTCCTGGTGTGCTGTATGATTCTGTCCATTCACCACAATATTGTTTCTGTTTCATATGGAAGGGAACAAACGGCAAGGGGAATAAAGTTAACTCTGAAGGTTAGGAATTTTATGATTGAAACATTTTTGAGGGGTTTGTTTTTCTGATTTAGGTGAAAATATTTCATGGCATCCTATCAGTGCAGTGGTGTATTGATTCATGGGTCTTTGTTGGGATCTAGCTGTACAAGGGGCCTTTATTCATTCACTGGATGAGGGCATCACTGGCCAGGCCAGCATTTATTGTCCGTCCCTAATTGCCCAGATGGCAGTTAAGAGTCAACCATGTTGCTGTGGGCCTGGAGTCACATGTAGGCCCAGACCAAGTGACAGAGGCTAGTGCCATAGTGGAGCACAGGAAGAGAATATCAGCCATTCAGCCCATCAATCCTGTTCTACCAGGTCTTGGATGATCTATATCTCAACTCCCTCTAGAGCCAGTGGGATGATTTGAAAAACTCTTTGAAAGGTCAAACAGGTTCAAATGGCCTCCTGTGTTGTGATGATTCAATCTCACTTAAATCTTACCTTGTGTTTTTTTGTTGATTATTGGCAGATTGCTGGAGCCAGAGAGTGTAGAGAACGCCCTTGAAGGATTGAGGCTTTCGTCGGAGCGAGGTTCTGAGCACAGCTGGTCTGAGCGAAATGTGCCCGCCAATGAGAATCAGGCCCGGGACTGGCGTCAAGGCCCAGTCAATGCTATGCTGAGCGGACACCAGGACCAGGGAGTGGATGGGGACCAACTCGAACGGACACCCACGTCTGATGGTCCGACGAGCCAGGGGTTGAGTCAGTCCTGGGCCGCGGGCGGGAACCCGGCCTGGTCTGGGGAGACGCGGGCATCGCCCAACAGGAAGAAAGGGATGCCCCAAACGGGCAAGTATGCCTGGCAGCAGGAACTGCCACAGCCTGGGGCGGCCGCTGTACTGGAGACCACCCAGCTGCTGCCTGACCTGCCCCAGGTGGGCACAAGCGAAGCACCAACTGCTGTCACCGATCGGCTGCCAAGCTGTGCTGCTGGCACTGAGCCCCGGCAGCCTCCACCCAGCGGATCTTCTGGGCCTGCCCATGCCCAGGCTGGGAAAGCGGAGCTGAGAGAGGGCACCAGAGAGAGCTGGGCCTTCCCTTCCTTCCCGTCGGATTCTGCTCGTCCTCCTTCTCCACAGTTTGCCCCTCAGAGACTCACCGACAAACCGCCCCCTACCGTTGAAGGTGACAGGCTGCCCAGGTAATTACTCAGGAACTCATGGTTTAAAAAGAAACCTCCTTCCTTTACCCCTGCACCCTCAGGCTGTGGGAGTTTCAGCACGTATTGGCCATCCCTAAATTGTCCTGCAGAGGGCAGTGTTGTCTTAAACCCGCTGCAGTTCTCTATGGGGTCGGTAGACCCACAAATGCCATTAGGGAGGGAACTCCAGAATTCTGACCCAGGGACGGCGATGTATTTCCAAGTCGGGATGGTGAGTGGCTGGGAGGGGAACTTGCAGGCGGCGGTGCTGCCATATGTCTGCTGCCCTTCTCCTTCTAGATGGACATGGTCACAGGTTTGGAAGGTGCTATCTGAGGAACTCTGCTGCGCATCTTGTAGATGATGCTGCTACAGAGTGCTGAGCGGTGGAGGGTGTGAATGTTTGAGTTGGTGGATGGGGGGGAGTCCCAGTCAAACAGACTGAATGTGTTTTATACGAGGTCGTTCCATCTATTATTGATAACCCAAGGTGAAGACTCTCAGTGTGGAACGCTGCTACAGTACAATGTCATAAAAAATATAACAGAATAAACAACGAAGCAATCTAAAGTTTCCCTTCTTTAAAGAAGGCCGAATGCTAGGGAAGACAGACTGGGATGATGGGAGGAGGCACAGAGTGAGTGAGAAAATGAGTAGGACTCTGACCTGCGCTGAAGGTTGATGTCGGGGTGGTGGGACAATGTGTCGAGGAAGACGCATCTAGTTGTTGGCTCTGAAACTGGGAAAGGAATCAAAAGGGGCAGTTGAACAGCTCATTGACCACCACAACAATGGCACAGAGAAGGTGGGAGAGATTGTGGTGGGGAGGGAGAGTGAGTGAGTCTGGTTACAGTGGGTGAAAGGTAGGCCTGCAATCACAGTGGGTCAGCCCCCCGACATGTGGGGACAATGTCCAAGCCTCAGGAGACAGCAAGATCTGCTGATGCTGGAGTCAGAGATAACACAGTGTGTGGAGCTGGAGGAACACAGCAGGTCAGGCAGCGTCAGGGGAGCAGGAAAGCTGATGTTTCGGGTTTACACCCTTCATCAGGACTCGCGCCTCTGGCTTTAGGGAGGATTAGCAGGCGCTGAAGGGCAAGGGAGATTTAACCCAAAGGAGTGAGCCAAGCTTTCTGAAGGTGGCTCTAACAATGGAGGGCGAGTTAGCTGGGGCCCTCCTCCCTCAGGATAGTTACGTGGAGAGATTTCAGAAGCCGGGATTGCTCCCTAAGGAAGAGATGGTTAAGGAACAGTTTAACCGAGCTGTTCAAAATCATGAAGGGCCTTAACAGAATACTTGGAGGAAGCCTCAGTAAGCAAAGGAGACAGCTGATGAGTATTGAGAAGAGAACAAGAGGCAATGTGGACAGTCAGGTCAGAAAGGGGTGGTGAGACCAAGAACATTGTTACGTGAAGAAACATGAGTGAAAATGATCAAACCAATAGGAATGCCCACGTTTAATTCTGTTCTCCGGTAACGAACAGGGAAGTTTCTTTCTATCAAACGGGGATTTTTATGTGAGCTCTGCTTCTGTATTGTTAAAGTTAACAAGTAGCTGAGGCACGTAGCTCAAATTTGATTTCTTGGTCAGTCAGCTGGTCTCAGGGAAGTGTCCAATGGCCTGAGTGTCCTAGGGTTGAGGAGTGAGAGCTATCAGTTTCCCTCATGGCTGTTAAACAGCGACTCCTGCTGGCAAGCTCATGTCTGTGCACGTTGGGGTGCAGACCGGAATGAACTGCAACGTGATGCCAAATAGTCAACACTCTTTATCTCTGCTCTGCACCTGCAGTACCACAGCTTCTTTTTCCTTTTATTGCCCATCCCCGACTGTCCTTGAATGGAATGGTTTGTTAAGCCACATCAGAGGGGTGTTAGGAGTCAACCACATTGCTGTGGATCTGGAGTGGAGTAGGCCAGGCAATGACAGGAGCTTTCGGGGACATTAATAAACTAGAAAGGTTTGTTTATGGCAATTTTAGCCATTAATTCTGAAACCTAATTAATAACGTTGAAATTCTAGCAGCTGCTATGGGACTTGAAGCCATGTTCCCAGAGCATTTCTCTCTCTCTCTTTGGATTCCCAGTTCAATGGCAATGCTACTGAGCCACCTTTTTTCCCTGAAATGGAAAGTGAGGAAACTTTTAAAAATGACTAGTCAGGCGTCAGATGCAAGTGTTGTGCTGATCTTTGGGCATTGCGTTTTCAGAAGGGTGTTGGGGCTTTAAGAGGTACAGAAGCAATTTACTCGACTGGTACCAGTTACATCAGTTCAGTGTAGAGAGGCTGAGTGTGTTCTCCTTAGAACAGAGTCAGTTGAGAGGAGATTTGATATAATTGATAAAAATGCTGAAAGCTATGAAACAGTTAGAGTCGACAAGGAGAAACCGTTTTATGTATCAGAATGGCCATTAATCAGAGGACACCGATTTAAAGCCATGGACAAAAGAAGCAAATGGGTTGGGGAAAGGTTTGTTCACACAGCAAGGTAGTTTCCTAACTCTGTATCCCTGTCCCTCTGGTGTGGTACTGTCACTGAAGGAGACCCTTATATTGTAACAATGTGCGTTTGTGCAGTAAATCCCCACAAGAGGTGCCTCTCAAGGGAATATTGACAAACATAAAACCAACCCTGAGTCGATCGATGAGATGTTGGTGGCAGGTGATCAGAGCTTGGCCAGTGAGGGTGACTTTCATATTGGAATACAAAACCCACCAGAGCAGCTGTCGTGCTAAAGATGAACAGATGTGCATTTACATAGCACCCTTCACATCCTCAGGATACCTCAAAGCCCCGCCAATGATGTAGTTTTAAGGTGCCACCACTGCAATATCACAGGAAACCCAATTTGCACACAAACACGTCGATGTGAGTGATGAGATTTTTAATACTCTTACATGGGGGGAGGGCATCACTGGTTAGGCCAGCATTTATCACCCATCCCTAATTGCCCAGAGGGTTAAGAGTCAACCACATTGTTGTGGGTCTGGAGTCATATGTAGCCCAGACCAACTAAAGATGGCAGATTTCCTTCCCCTAAAGGACGTTAATGAACCAGATTCTTTTTTTTAAACGACAGCCATCAGTGGTTACTCGATCACCATTAGCCTAGCTTTAAATTCCTGATGTTTTTCCCTTAATTCAAATGTCACCATCTGGCATGATGGGATTTGAAACCACATCCCCACAGCAAAAGCAATCTGGGGTCTAGCTTACTAGAACAGTGACGTCACTACCTTCCCCTTAGTCAAAGAGGTAAATTTTGGTCAAGGAATGGGCACAGGGAATGCGAGGCAACTCCCTGTTCTTCTTCGTCACAGGATATTTAACATTCACTTGGAATCACAACTTGAACAGTGTGACCCACAGCAATGCTGTTGTCTGAGGATTCCTCACAGCAGAATGATTTAATTCTCTCTGTCTCCGCATCGTCCTGAGTTTCAGCTCCCGGGTCAAATCTCCTCAGAAGGGGGTGATGGGTGCGTAAAGACTGAGAGAGAAATGAAAATTGATTAAATTTTTTTTAAAAAATCAGCACCAAAAGCACAGCAAGATCCCACCACGCGCTGCCTTTCATAATCTGACACCCCCCCTCCATCCCCAGCAGCACAACAAATCCCACCACTCACTGCCTTCCACCATCTGACAATACTCTCCCCTCAGCACAGCAAGATCCCACTGCTGGCTGAATTTTCCACAATCTGACCACTTTATCCCACAGCACAGCATGCTCTCTAGAACAAAATGTTAAAGTTTGCAGATGATACCAAGATGGGTGGGAGGGTGACTGTGATGAGGATGCAGAGAGCCTTCAGCATGATCTAGACAGGTTGGGTGAGCAGGAAAATCAATGGCTGATGCAGTATAATTTGGATAAATGTGAGGTTATTCATCTGAATGGCTGTAAATTGGGGGAGGGGAGTGTGTGCAGCAGGACCTGTCCTGCTGTGTTCATCCAGCTCCACACTGTGTTATCTCTGACTCCAGCATCGGCAGTTCTTACTATCCCTTCTTTTTATTCCATATCCTTTCCGTAAACATCCTTTCAGGTGGTAGTAGGAACTGCAGATGCTGGAGAATCTGAGATAACAAGGTGTAGAGCTGGATGAACACAACAGGCCAAGCAGCAAGGATGCTGCTTGGCCTGCTGTGTTCATCCAGCTCTACACCTTGTTACCTCTCATCCTTTCAGGTGGATTGTGCTGAGCTATCTTTTGTTATGCATGCATTCTTGCAAATGGCCATTCAGTGCATTATACCTGACTCCAGATAACTGTCTTATCAGTCATTCTGGTTAGTCAATGCAAAGGATTAGCAGCTAATCACAATGAGGGAAGTGATGTTTGTGACTATCTTGAGGACCCCATTCAGCTTGTGTGTTGATGTGCACGATTGCAGAGAGTCTGGGTGAGTTGCTGAAGCAAACTGGGCAGTCGCCCTTAGCTAAGGATCTGTAACTCCTTCTCTCTGCGCTGACTGATCGTTTATGCCTGCTGTTTCCTTTATTGGTGACAGAGAGAGGTTTGTTTTCTCTCCGTGTGACAGAATCGAGAAGGTGACGGAGAACAACACGACGGTGAAGAAGGTGCCGATCAAGATCGTTTGTTCGGAAAGCCAGACAGAGAAGGAGAGCCGACACAACCTGCTGAACAAGGTGGAGCACACGAGCTGCGGCCTGAAAGAGCAGCGAGAAGCCATTGGCAGCTGCGAGCATTCTTCGGTGTTCAGCACCTACAGCAGGGAGGAGCTGGAACTGCTTCGGGAGTGCACTTCTCCTGAAACTGCCCAGTCTGAACAAGCAGCAAGCAACTCCTGGGAAAGCAAGCCACTCTCTCCTGTGCCCAGCTACGGGAAGACTAAGGAGAAGAGCATCGAAGATATCAAGTCCGAGGAGTTGGCGAGGGAGATTGTTGGCAAGGACCGAACACTGGCTGATATTTTGTACCCGAACTCTAAGCTAAAGACCACCATGGATTTGATGGAAGGTATCTTCCCCAAAGACGAGACTGTCCTACAGGAAGCTCAGCAACGCAGGAAGCTGCTTCCGACTCGACCTTACTCGCCCAAGCCTGCAGAGGACAGGTAAAAGGTCATTGTGGGGAATTCACATGGAGGTGACTGTTGAGGGTTCCCAGCTCACTGGAACTTAGTGAGGCGGTAACTGCAGTTGTAGAGTCACATAGCACGGAAACAGACCCTTCGGTCCAACTTGTCCATGCTGACCAGGTATCCCAATCTGACCTCGTCCCATTTGCCAGCATTTGGCCCATATCCCTCTAAACCCTTTCTATTCATATACCCGTCCAGATGCCTTGTCGATGTTGTAATTGTACCTGAGATAGTAGGAACTGCAGATGCTGGAGAATCTGAGATAACAAGGTGTAGAGCTGGATGAACACAGCAGGCCAAGCAGCATCAGAGGAGCAGGAAAGCTGACGTTTCGGGCCTAGACCCTTCTCTGAAGAAG